TTACAATGGAAAGATATGGCAGTTAACACCTTAACAAACTTAATATTACTATTTGTGGAACAACCTGTCATTAAGTGTCATATATGCCTCCTAATTTGATTAGGAGGATATAGTGTAGGATGAATACATGATAGTACCTAGGAATTATTCCTGCAAAAAACACTTAATTTGAATCTAATCCCATCTCTGGACCCAGCTTCCAGTTTACAGGAAATACAGAGAATGGAGGAACAAATTAAATGAAACCACAAGAAACAGACAAAATTCAGAATCTGGGACAATCTACAAAACAAGTGACCTAAATTAAACCTCACCAATTATTAAAACAAAATATGTTAAAATTTATCTATCAAATTGATAACATTAAAAATTAATACAATTTTTGGGGGCAGGACAATCTGGTAACATGTAACAGTTTTTTAAATGTTTATATACTTTACCCAGCAATTCCACTTCTAGGAATTCATCCTATAGAAATGAGTTGTACATAAACATTTATTGACCAGAATGTTCACTGCAGCATTACTAATGAAAATGGATGTAATCTAATTTACCAAGATAAAATAATTATACAATAAAATACTTTATAATCATTGAAAATCTTAATTTCAAATATTTAACATGAACAGGTCCTTAAAATACATTAAGTACAAAGAAAGCAGATTATAAACTATTAGTATGTAATTTCCCTGTATATGTATATTCTACTTTACAGGAAAGATAATTATCAAAATGTTAATTTTGCTATTTCTAGGTGGCAAAATGGATTTATAGGTGATTTTAAGTTTTTTTCTTTGTAGGAGAGAGAATCATTATTTCTAATGTCTGAAAGAATAAAAAATGGGCCGGGTGCTGTGGCTCACGCCCGTAATCTCAACACTTTGGGAGATCAAGGTAGGTGTATCACTTGAGGCCAGGAGTTTGAGATTAGCCTGGCCAAAATGGTGAAACTCTGTCTCCAATAAAAATATAAAAATTAGCTGGGCATGGTGGCCCACGCCTGTTGTCTCAGCTACTCAGGAGGCTGAGGCAGGACAATCACTTGAACCCAGGAGGGAGAGACGGCAGTAAGCTGAGATGGAGCACTGCACTCCAGACTGGGCAACAGAGAGAGACTCAGTAACCCCCCCACCCACCAAAAAAAGACTAAAAAATGAAAAGAGAGAACAAAGTTAATTTTCATGATGCTAGAGGGCAGAACTAGGAACTACCAATAGAAATTACACGGAAGCCACATTTAACTCAAGGTAAGGAATAACTTTCTAACAACTAGAATTTTCTAAGCAATGAATAATCTGCCTTATGAGGTAATATGTTTTGCATTATTAGAACTCTAAGCAAAGGCTAAGTGGTCACTTGGCAAAGATACACAGTAGAGATTTATGCATTAGGAGATTAAAGAGAAGCTTTTAATGGTCCTTTTGTACTTTAAGTACTTATAATTTCTTTTTTTTTTTTTTGAGACGGAGTTTCACTCTTGTTGCCCAGGCTGGAGTACAATGGCACAATCTTGGCTCACCGCAAACTCCGCCTCCTGGGTTCAAGCAATTCTCCTGCCTCAGCCTCCCGAGTAGCTGGGATTACAGGCATGTGCCACCACGCCTGGCTAATTTTGTATTGTTAGTAAAGACAGGCTTTCTGCATGTTGGTCAGACTGCACCTGAACTCTCAACCTCAGGTGATACACCAGCCTCGGCCTCCCAAAGTGCTAGGATTACAGGCGTGAACCACCACGCCCAGCCAGTACTTATAATTTCATATAAAGTTTTCCATTTGCAGGGATACCAGAAAGGAAGTGCTTGGTTATTTGCTTTTATAATAAAAGCCCACGTGATACCAAAGAGATTATACTTACATTAGAATAATAGAGTTGAAGGATGATTTACTTTGTTACATTCTACATCAATTTAATATATACACTATTGAGAAAGTGAAAGCAGAAAACTAACCCAATGGACAGGATTCAAACTGAACCTGGAAGAACTACATTTGAAATGAATCTACTCCTCACTAATTTCTCTGTGTCTAGTAAGAACCGGAACAATTACACTTTTTCAAGGTTTAATGCAATAAACATTTCAAAAAGGAGGAGGATAAGCTCTGGCTGCACTATAATTCACACACAAATGAAGGAAAAGTGAAGAATATACCACCCACCCCCTGCAAAATGATATATAAAAATCTTGGCCGGGCGCGGTGGCTCACGCCTGTAATCCCATCACTTTGGGAGGCCGAGGTGGGTGGATCACAAGGTCAAGAGATCGAGACCATCCTGGTCAAAATGGTGAAACCCTGTCTCTACTAAAAATACAAAAAATCAGCTGGGCATGGTGGTGCGTGCCTGTAATCCCAGCTACTCAGGAGGCTGGGGCAGGAGAATTGCCTGAACCCAGGAGATGGAGGTTGCGATGAGCCGAGATCGCGCCATTGCACTCCAGCCTGGGTAACAAAAGCGAAACTCCGTCTCAAAAAAAAAAAAAAAAAATCTTATGATTTTGGATGTAGGAATACTGGGCAATGGGAAGTGACAGAAAAACTTAACATTATACTGGGTTCCTGGAAGGCAGAAGGAAGTGTCAGAGGTCTTTGAAATTTTTTAGAGTAATTGTGATTTTAAAAATAAAAGATACACTTAAAAAAAACAAACAACTTTTTAATTATGGAAATTTTCAAATATACACAAAAGTAGAAAGTGTAATCACCACTCACCTTCATTTCTCAACATTTTTATTGTGATAACCTACCCTTTGTTAGCCTAACTGACTCTCTGAGAGCTGTTCGGACTTCATGTTAGCTTCTTGAGCTGGACAGACTCCATGTTAGTTTTTTCACTTGCTCTCCTTTTTTCTCCCCCTTTCCCCTGAGCATGTAGTCAGGTTAAGCTGACTCCAAGCAGACCCAGGAATGCATTTACCGATAAGATACCAAGTCAAGCGGTACCAGCAGCCCTTGGGAACGCAGATGTTGTTAAGTACCAAGAGCCCCAGTCTCTATAAGTTCTATGTCTTTTTTAACAGCTTAAGCCCCTGCACCTGGTACTGTTTACTTCTTATGTAAACTAGTTTATCTTTTAACTTTTTGCTTGCTCTGCTTCTGTAAAAAATTGCTTCAGCTAGGTTCCCCCTCCCTTTTCAAACTGGGGTATAAAAAACCACGTAACTCTTTCTTCGGGGCCTAGAGAATTTTCTTTAAATGCTCCAAATGAGAGAGAAAATGTAACTGGATATCATCAGTGTCAACTGCCTAGGATATAAAAAAAGGAGTCAGCTCACACAGTGAAAAGCAATGACATGGCTAGGCCTCTTCCATAGAGCTCGATATAGACGTATTTCTTTTAAATTTGCCTCTCCAATGATGGGGGGGAGGGGAGGGGTAGGGAGGAGAGGTTTCTCTACTTCTACCACACCTAAAACAGTTTAAGCAAAGGGATCTCACAAGCACAGGGCTAAGAAATCAGTATGAATAATATTTGGTTGCTTATGAAATACTGAATAAAAAATAAAAGGATAGAGGATAAAAAAATTCTTCTGACTGGTGTATCAGAGTTCTAAACCTTTCACTCATAGTGTTACAAAACAAACAAGAAAAAACTAAATGATTCAGAATTTGTTAAATAAAAGAGTCTCCTCTCCTCTGCAAAAGCACCAAAAGTTCTCCTAAAACCCTCCCTAGTGATTTACAATAGATCTCTGAGTAATTAAACTAATTATCTTCTCTGTGGAGCCCACCTAGGGCATCCTCCTTCCCCATCTTCCACTTTTCTCAAACACAAGCAGAAGGGCTCCTTCCCTGCTCCTACTGTGCTTTATATTTAATTCTATTAGAGCATTAATCAATACTTCAGTGTAATTATCTTCTTTTCCGGACTATGAATTCCCAGGGCGATAAGACCCTATCTTACTCCTCTTTACATTTCCAATTCCTTATCTTTAAACCTACCACCACTGAAATGAAAAGTTTTCTCAATGAATAGAGATGACAGAATATGGAGTTATTTTTTAATTTTTTTTGAGACAGTCTCACTCTGTCACCCATGTTGGAGTGCGGTGGCATAATCTTGGCTCACTGCAACCTCTGCCTCCTGGACTCAAGTGATTGTTGTGCTTCAGCCACCCAAGTAGCTGGGTTATAGGCATATACCGCCACTCCAGGCTAATTTTTTTTTTTCCCTGAAAGAATATGATTTGACTAATTTTTATAGTTTTAGTAGAGATAGAATTTTGCCATGCTGGCCAGGCTGGTCTTAAACTCCTGGCCTCAAATGACCTGCCCGCCTCTGCCTCCAAAAGTGCTGAGATTACAGGCATGAGCCACCATGCCCGGCCTGGAGTGATCTTTATAAGAGTATAAAACCTCTCTAACCTTTTCATCTTCAGTTCTTCCCATAAGTCTCCACTTTAGGAGTTTTCCTATCAGCCAATAGTTCAGGCTGAATAACATGGACTGTAGTCTCTTGAGAGCTGGAGAAAGAATCTAGTCACTTTGGTTTGCAATATCTTCTAATGAAGTGAGGGGAATACAACTTGAATGATCTGGAAAGTAGTTAAACCTTTCAAGAGCTTTTATTCAGAAGCCAAAATGCAGAACAGTGTTTGAAATGCCTGCTTTTACATTGAAATGCTGAAGCTAACAGGGAAAATAAAACATTTCAAAAACCAATAACTAATAAGCAGCATCTGGTTGTCCACTTCTACTATTTTTCAGACAAAAATTCCCTAGCAAAAATGTACAGGTCTGGGTTAAAGCCTCAACCACGAGGGAGGCACCTTTCATGTACTGTTTTAAGTGTGCTTAGATTCCTCTCTAATACTAGTTAACCAAACCACTTTGAGAATTATCTGGTTAGGCAATCCCTTGAAGTGCAAATCTTTCGGTAAGGAAGTAATCTTTCTCAAGAATTTCAGAAAATTCTAAATAATCTCCCAGTTTAAGCTATGTTACACTGGAAAGAAAAAGTCACATCACATGCTTTATATGCCTTTCTTTGGTTACCATGTTACCTTGGTTAGAGTCCTCTGGGTCTTCTATATGAGCAATGACACTCCTGAGATAAATCTCCTTCTGCTGTTCTAGATTTGACTGTGAAAACGTCGGAACATTAGTCCTTGAATGAAGCAAACCCGAAAAAAGAAAAACAGCCCATTAGAACCAGGAATGTAGACAGAAAATTCCCTTTATGATCCAGGGGCAGAAGATAGTATTAGTCACATAATATAAAGCTAAAATGGAGTATGGAGTCAAGAGAAAAAGAGAAGCTGGGTGTGGTGGCTCCTGTCTGTAATCCCAGCACTTTGGCAGGATTGCTTGAGGCCAGGAATTTGAGACCAGCTAGGGCAACATAGTGGGACCCAAGAAATTTTTTTTTTTTTTTCTGAGACAGAGTCTTTCTCTGCCATCCAGGCTTGAGTGTAGAGCCGTGATCTCGGCTGGCTACAACCTCTGCCTCCCAGGTTCAAGCAATTCTCCTGCCTCAGCCTCCTGAGTAGCTAGTACTACAGGTGCATGCCACCACACCCAGCTAATTTTTATATTTTTAGTAGAGACTGGGTTTCACCATGTTGGCCAGGATGGTCTCGATCACTTGACCTCATGATTTGCCCGCCTCAGCCTCCCAAAGTGCTGGGATTACAGGTGTGAGCCACCATGCCCAGCCTAATTAAATTTTTTAAGCAAAGTAAATATAATAAGTATATAATCAAAATAATTTTTTAAAATCTCACTGTAGGCCGGGCGCAGTGGCTCAAGCCTGTAATCCCAGCACTTTGGGAGGCCGAGGTGGGTGGATCACAAGGTCAAGAGATCGAGACCATCCTGGTCAACATGGTGAAACCCCGTCTCTACTAAAAATACAAAAAATTAGCTGGGCATGGTGGCGCGTGCCTGTAATCCCAGCTACTCAGGAGGCTGAGGCAGGAGAATTGCCTGAACCCAGGAGATGGAGGTTGCGGTGAGCCGAGATCGTGCCATTGCACTCCAGCCTGGGTAACAAGAGCGAAACTCCATGTCAAAAAAAAAAAAAAAAAAAATCTCACTGTAAGGAAGCTAATCCGATTCAACACTTTAAAAAAAGCTTTTCTAGTGCATTCAATTTAAAAGGACCACATAGAGACACTGCCATCTCCTGGCAACAAGAGAATAAATTGAAAAGGTGACACAAATTTGCAACCCCTACTAGAATTTTTTGCCAAGGGCAGTTGTATGCAAGTTGGGAGAGATGAAGAAATAATTTTCTACTAGTTATATTTTAACAGTTTTGTTAAAATTATTCTAACCTCTTATCATATATGTGACTAGCCTGCCCCATACACAGGAAAAGAAATCTTACATTTGTAGTGGTTTCACTAACATGTCTATTTTGCTTTCAAAATAACTATAAAGCAGCAGAGAAGTCATCTAATGATGCCTTATTTTATGCATAAAAACTGAGGTAAGAGATTTGACTTGCCAAAAGTCACACAGTTGGTAGTGATAGAACTTCAAGTTTGCTTACTCCAAAAGCAGGGTTTGTTCCCTACGCTAAGAGGAAACAGGGGAGGGGAAGAAAGAAATTGAAGAGAACCAAAAGAAATCAGAATATGTAATTATACTTTACATTACCTGGTCTTGGTTTGTAGAACAGGAATGACTTTGCCTAGTCTTCTCTCATGGCCTTTCATCTTCCCAGAATCCTTGTCAAGAACATTCTGCTTTTTGAGGAGAGGAATGCAAAAGGAAAGGTGGTTCTTAGTTACAAGAAAACCACTGAAAATAACACTATTTATGGAAATTTTTTTAACTAAATGCTACACAAGCATATCTGTGAACATTACTGTGTGCCATGTATGACAGCAGTGCTTTAAATGCGATAGCAACTGTAATCTTTTTTTGTAATCTTAAAAAAAATAATAAAAGAAACCCTGGCCAGGCACAGTAGCTCACACCTGTAATTTCCGCACTTTGGGAGGCTGAGGTGGGCAGATCACCGGAGGTCAGGAGTTTGAGACCAGCCAGACCAATACAGTGAAACCCCATCTCTACTAAAATACAAAAATCAGCCAGGCGTGCACACCTGTAATCACAGCTACCCAAGAGCCTGAGACAGGAGAATTGCTTGAACCCAGGAGGCGGAGGTTGCAGTGAACCGACTGTGCCACTATACTCCAGCCTGGGCAACAGAGTAAGACTCTGTCTCAAACAAAACAAAACAACAACAACAACAACAAAAGAAACCCTATGTGGCAGGGATTATTACACTCATTTGGCAGGCTCAAGAAGGTTAGGTAAATTGCCGAAGATTTTTCAGTTCTTTCATGGCTGACTCAGAGCTAGTACTATATCTAATAGAGCATAGCAATAAAGATTGAGACTTAAGCTGAAACACAAGGACAGGAAAAATAATAGAATTACCATCTTAGTAATTACTCAATAAAGGATAATTTAATATTATGTATCAGGTGATGTAAACACATCATTTCATTAATCCTTATTATACTATGAAGTATTATTTACTCCAATTTAGGTAAGAAATATGGGGAAGCATTGAAGCTAAATAATTAGCCCAGGGTCACAGTGCTATTCAGGATCCAAACCCCAATTTGTCTGAACACAAAGCTCTGCTAGATTATAACAAATGTACCACTGTGGTATAGGATGCCCACAGTAGGGGAAGTTGATATGTGTAGAGACAGGGGTATACATATCAACTTCCTGCTATACATCTGAATAAAAATTATTTCATTTTTCTCTTCACCTTGAACAATGTACTTACTTTGTTTGATGAGTTGGAAACAACCGGAGACCTCATTTCACAACTTGGTTTATGTGAACCACCATTTCTGCAGGATGACTCCGTATTAGGAGTCTCTGAATGGTCTGAGATCCGAGAGAATACAGACGTAAGGTTCTTACTGTCAGCCATATTTTTATCAGAGACAGCTTGTTGAAAGTTATTGTTTGAAGACAGCTGGGGCCCATCCCAGGCAGAATTATTGGGGCCGATCCCTTCAGATTCAGTACAAAGTTTGCTTTCATTTGGAGTAAGACCATCTTCTCTCATCTCTTCTCCAAGGGAAGAGAGTTTTTCAGTATCTTTGGATGAATCAATCTCGTCCTTATCAAGCAAAGCATCACAAACTGTTGGATTAAATGGTGCAACAGTCACTTTTATAAGATTCTTTTCTAATACAGACCGTCTGTTTAATGGTTTAGTAGGAGCTGGTCCATGACCACCTGATGTACTTAGCTGAGGTAGTTTGAAGAGGTCAGGAGTCTCAGCTACTGGTCCCAAGCTGTACGATGAATTCTTCTCTTGGAGAGAATCAACTAGAATTTGACTCCCTCTTTCTCCCTTCTCAACATGCCCAACATCATCTTCCCCAGAAGACTGCTCATCTGATGGGTCATCTTCCTTCAAGAGTGCATCAATCTCTTCCTCTGTGTAATTTAAATCACCGTCATCATCTTCTCCTTCAGACAGTTCCAGCAAAGAGTCATCTAATCCATCCTCATCCAGGGAACCCCAAGAAAATGGGGCATTGTCTTTAGGCAAGAGAGAGGTACCAGAAGACTGTTCAGAGGGCACCAGTGAGCACATCATCTCTGGAGAAATAAGAGACAGTTTCACCTAGGAGCAGAAAATAACCTTATACCAACTGTAGTCAACTATATGTGGGTAATGTTCTAGTATTTCAAAATCTTTGCACTGTGACTTGTAACATGAGAAATAATTTTAAGATATTTAACTTTACCAGAAACGTGAAAATACATGTTAGAACAATGAGATACTTTTTGCCTACCAAAATGGTAATAGTTAAGATGCCATGACAATCTGGATTGGTGAGGATGTGGAGAAACAGCATTCATACACTATCAGTAAGAGTATAAGTCAGTACAATATTTTGTGCAGAGTAATCCAGCAACTTCACTCCTGAAAATCTGTCCTTCATATATATGTTCAGAGTAGCCAAATCCTGGAAGCAACCTAAATGGTGTATTTGTGCTATGGAATACTTTTCAATTATTTAAAAACACAGTGAAGTAGATCTGTAAGTACTATCATGGAATGATATCTACAACATACAAACAAAACAAATGTATATCATGAAAAATGTTTAAATATTCAGTTTACACTTTAACACAAAACAAATACGTATTACTTTTGAAATAAAACAAAATTCAAGAATACAAGAAGGTAAATAATTGTCTTCCATACTGTGTGGAGCTGCTGGAGCAATCTCTGCCTTTGCCACGAGACCAAATGGAAAAAGGTTTCAGCTCCTGCTAGCTGTTCCTTTCAGGAGACTTGTCAAAATGATTGACTCCCACCTTCCTGCAGGCAAAAAGAAAATTAGAGGATCTTCTCATCACTTTCAACTCTGCTAATTACAAAGTCAACTGTATTATGCTTTAAGGTGCTTGATGTATTAATTTTGATCTGGATTTTTTTTGTAAAACCAGAAAGTTGGATTTTCTGAGTCAAGAACACCAAAGAAAAATCTTCAAAGAAAAAAAATTATGCAACTAAGGGAACTAGTTTTGTTCCTCCCAAAATTTGTACTTTCTTAAGACTATCATCTACTTTAGTAGGATGAATACTGGCGTGGGAGTCCAAAGACCTGGGGTATAGTCCTGGTTGTAACACTAGCCAGCTCCAGTAACTTGGGTATGCCAACTGACCATCTGAACTTGTTTCCTCAATTACAAAATAGGAAAGGGATGGAAAAGGGGGACTAGGCAATGTCTGACATTCCAGCAAAATCTAAAAATTAATCATGACCACACATATAAAAATCTTTTACAATATAAATATATAAATGCAAAAAAAAAAGAAAAAAAAAGGTCATTAAAACAAACACAACCCTGGGCAACAAGGCAAAACACTGTTTCTAGGAAAGAAAAAAAAAAAAAAAAAAACAGAAAAATTAGCCAGGCATGGTGGCACACACCTATATTCCTAGCAGCTACTCATGCGGCTGAGGTGAGAGGACCACTTGAAGCTGGGAGGTCAAGGCTGCAGAAAGCAGTCATCGTGCCACTGCACTGCAGCCTCGAAGACAGAGCAAGACCCTGTCTCAAAAGAAAAAAAAGGTACAAACAAAAATTGATAACTATTATAACTTGCAGGGACATAAGGTAGGTCAAGGTTGGACTTCTGTATCATTTTACTTTTCTACTTGAATGTTTACTTGTATAATTAAAACCTAGATTTTAAATAGCTAATGACAGACCTAATCTATAATTATTTTCCAAATGGGAAAGGTGATAAAAAGCTAATATTTCACATATCTGAGAAGCTATAAGAAATGCTTATACACTGAACTCAATAATTTAGAAAATTCCTTGTAGCCTTGTAACTATAAAATTTTCCCTTAGGCCGGGCGCGGTGGCTCACGCCTGTAATCCCAGCACTTTGGGAGGCTGAGGCGGGTGGATCGCGAGGTCAAGAGATCGAGACCATCCTGGTCAACATGGTGAAACCCCGTCTCTACTAAAAATACAAAAAATTAGCTGGGCATGGTGGCGCGTGCCTGTAATCCCAGCTACTCAGGAGGCTGAGGCAGGAGAATTGCCTGAACCCAGGAGGCGGAGGTTGCGGTGAGCCGAGATTGCACCATTGCACTCCAGCCTGGGTAACAAGAGTGAAACTCTGTCTCAAAAAAAAAAAAAAAAAAAGTTAAAAAATAATCAGTATCCAAATAAGGTCCATACAGTGTGACTGGCTGTTAATGTCTTATGTATATTTTAATCTAAAGATTTCAGATCTTTTCCCCCTGTAATTACTTTATTAAAGAAACAATATGCTAGATGGCTCACGCCTATAATCCCAGCACTTTGGGAGGCCAAGGTAGGCAGGTCACTTGAGGCCATGAGTTCAAGCAAGACCAGCCTGACCAACATGGCAGAACCCCATCTCTACTAAAAATACAAAGAAAATTTAGCTGGGTGTGGTGGTGCAGGCCTGTAGTCCCAGCTATTCAGAAGGCTGAAGCAGGAGAATCGCTGAAACCCAGGGAGCAGAGGTTGTAGTGAGCAGAAATCACACCACTACACTCCAGCCTGGGTGACAGAGTCAGACTCTGCCTCAAAAAAAAAAAAAAAAAAAAGAAAGAAAGAAAGAGTACCACCACATATTATCTATGGATATATCATACAATTATTAAAATATGCATGACTATGAGGAATACCAAATTCAGGATAGTGGTTACCTCTGGTGGTGGAGAGAGAAGAGGAATGGCAAAGGCACATGGGTAACTATACTTATATCTGCAATGTTTCTTTTATTTTTCTTGAGACGGAGTCTCGCTCTATGGCCCAGGCTGGAGTACAGAGGCACGATCTCAGCTCACTGCAACCTCTGCCTCACAGGTTCAAGCAATTCTCTGCCTCAGCCTCCCGAGTAGCTGGGATTACAGGCGTGCACCACCAGGTCTGGCTAATTTTTGTATTTTTAGTAGAGATGGGGTTTCACCATCTTGGCCAGGCTGGTCTTGGAACTCCTGACCTTGTGATCCACCTGCCTCAGCCTCCCAAAGTGCTGGGATTACAGGCGTGAGCCATCGCGCCCGGCCAACGTTTTATTTCTTAAGAAAACAATATCTCATCTTAGGCCACATGACAATAAATAAGGAAAACAAGAAAAAGAAAAAAAATAGCATGAAGAGACCTGGAACAAATATGGCAACCTAAGATAAAGCAGGATGGTGGGCATTAAAATGTTCGTTATGTTACTTTCTATGCTGTTTTAAAATTGTTACTTTTTTGAGATAGGGTCTCAGGTTTGTTGCCCAGGCAGAATACAGTGGTGTGATCATAGTTCACTGCAGCCTTGAACCCCAGGGCCCAAGCAGTCGTCCACCTCAGCTTCCTGAGTAGCTGGGACTACAGGACCACGCCACGATACCTGGCTAATTTTTTTCTTTTTTTGTAGAGACAGAGTCTCATTATGTTGCCCAGACTGGTCTTGAACTCCTGGACTCAAGCAATCCTTCTGCATTAGTTTTCCAAAGTGCTGGGATTACAGGCATTGAGCCACCACACCCAGCCACTGTATTTTTTTATATGCTTGAAATAATAAAAACATTTTAAAATTATGAAGTCAATGGGAAAGACAATGATTATACTCTGTGAAGTCTCAAATATCACAGAGCCTACCTGACAAGGTTGTGACAAGAATTAAATGAGATCACAAACATAAATTTAGCACACTAGAGGCACAATGTAAGAGACAAATAACTGGTGGCCACAGTTATTATTTCACTCCACCATGATCACTGCCCTGACCCCTGAAGAGTCAGTCTTAAGAGAAGCAAAGGAACCTCAGGAAAAAAGAGTGCCAAACTGGTAGGGAACTTCCCCTAGACCCTGCTTGCAATTATCTAGTATGCTCTAGTCTCATCTAGTTTAATCCAGCATTCAACCATACTGTCACCAAAGACCTAGACAGACATCTGAAATATCAGGCAAATTCTGCAAATTAATGTTCACTGAACTATCCTTTATAGAGGTACTGGACCTTAGCATTTCACTTAGTCTCTGAACCTCAATACAGATGAGAACACCCATTAAATTCTGTTAACTTCAAACACGTATTATCATGAAGAAAGAGGATGCTCATGAAAGCAGTCTAAACCTAAAAGTTCTATACCAAAAAAACCCTTATGTTTAATGAATGTGCAAAGGGCGGGGCGGGGGGGATCCTCAGATAAAATTGAAGTTCTTAAGTGAAATTCCAAAGACAGCCTTACTTGTTAAAAGAAGGGTTACTTACATTTCTGTCTACCATCTACCACCTTTCTTGGTACTTGCCTGGTAACCTCCACGTAAAATATGGGGACTCCTGTATATTTTTATTTTATATTTTATTTTTATTTTTGAGACAGGGTCTCATTCAGTCACCCAGGCTGGACTGCAGTGGCATGATCTGGGCTCACTGCAACCTCCACCTCCCAGGTTCAAGTGATTGCTGTGCCTCAGCCTCCCAATAGCTAGGATTACAGACGTCTGCCATGCTTAACTAATTTTTGTATTTTCAGTAGAGATGAGGTTTTGCCATGTTGGCCAGGCTGGTCTTGAACTCCTGGCCTCAAGCAATCCTCCAGCCTTGGCCTCCCAAAGTGCTGGAATTACAGGCGTGAGCCACCACGCCCAGCCATACCCCTTTATTTTTAAGGGAAGAATATTTTTCCGATCTCCTAATTCTATCTCTTAGTTCCTCTACACCCCATCCTTTCTGTGACCCTATTCTGTCCTTCCACATCTCTCACCTGTCCACCCCCTTCTTCACACTTCAGTTTACCACCCCCTCTCTCTGTTCTCGAACCTCCTGGTTGCAACCTCAGAAACTGGTTCCCTTTCTATTTTTATCTCACCTCAGAAAACCTACTGCCTCGAGCACAAAGCCTTATTTTACTGAGGCCACTAAAACTGCAACACTAGATGCAAACCCACATACTCTTTCAAGCTCTAAAATCAAGACCATTACTAAGCAGGATCTGACAGGTACGGCCAAGGGCAGAGATTATTTCCAGTGGACAAGACCTCCCCCTGGCCTTTGATTTCCAATCTTTCCCAAATGCAGTACGTGTGAAGCACACAGTACGAAACACACTCAGCAGCAGGCTTTATCACTCCATAAAATATACACAACATTTACAAAAAATCAAAATGAACTGAAATTATCTGTAACAGTTTCGCAAATTCCTTCGAGGTAACTAAAAACACTGCAGGACGGAAAAAACAACCCAGGGCTGCAAATCTTTGCTTTAGGTAATATTTCACTAGATGAGGGTGCCAGGATTCTCCTCCCACATGGACACAGAGAACCGACTTGCTAAGCTGCAGCAACAGGTTTCTTTTTAAAAAGAAAATGTGCTTTAAAACATTCTAGGCAGGTCGGCTAGAGCTTGGAGTCCCTAACAAATACACAAAAAAACTGGAGATCAGGTTGGGGCAGGCAGTGGGCAATTCAACCACTTCTAGGACCTCTCCAGGGCCCACCCTGAGGCAGCCACCTGCTTTCCCACTTGCCTAGGAAGTAACTGGTGACGCCGCTTCCAGCCCTTGAGGACCAGGAGGAAGGGTGTGACCCAGGCCCAACCTTTGTAGGATACTGCCTTGGCTCTCCCTTACAAATGCAGCCCGGGACTGTGTCACCCTCCAGGAAGGGCCTTTGCCCCTCCCTCCTCTGAGGACAACGCGAATTCCCGCCTCCCCACGGAAGGCGGGAGAAGCTAGGGTTCTCTCTCCCTGACCCTCCCCCAGCAGGGGCAAACTCGCCCCTCAGCAGGCCCGGGCGGTGCGCTTCTCTCCCGGGGACCACCGTCCTCAAATCTTCCCGGGGGAAGCGTCGTCCTCTTTCTGCCCCCACCCACGAGACGCGGCAGAAAAGCTCGCGAGCTTCCCGCCGGCAACAGCCTCCCGCCAAGCTGGCCGGGGCAGAGGCGTCCCCCGCCACCTACACATCCACGGTCCCCACCCCCACTGGGCAGAGACTGCAGACGGCGCTCCCCGACTCTCAGACGACCAGGGAGCTTCCTTTTTCCTCAGCAGGGTGAGGGGCATCTGTCGCCCGCCGACTTGAAGGTGGGGGGCAGGGACATTCCCTCGCCGTCACCTCAAGCGCTAGAACGCGCCCTTCTCGCAGCAAGGCGTGGGCCTCTCAATCCCTCCAAGGGGCCAGCGGTGTGCGCAGCCCCTTGGAGAAGCAACAGGCGCCCCCATCCCCCTCCCGGCCGGGTAACGCCGACCCCCTCGTCTCTCCCGCTCTTCACCTCCGGAAGCCGGGCCAAAGCCTGGGCGAACGACTGCGCCTCACTCCGCCCCCTGCGCCATTTTATCGCCCCCTCCCCGACCTCCCCCACCCGGAGTCCACCCGACCAACACGGGCGGGAGGGCAAACCAGCAGTGATTGGCAGAAAACCGCCCCGCCTCTAGGAGGGTTGCGCCCCGCGCAGGCGCCTCAGCCCCGCCCTCCGCACCGCCTTCCTTGCCCACCGGCTCCACCTTTTCCAGGCTCATCGAACTGCTCGACTCTCTACTGTTCCTCACTTTTTCCGGCTATTGCCGGGAGGGGAGGAGTTCAGGCCAAGCAAGCCGAGCGACGAGCTCAGCTGATGCAACCTGGCTGGACTCGCGTGACAGTTCCCGGCACGCGGTGGCGACGGTGACCCAGGAAGGGCCTCTGGTGCCGGGCTAAGTGTGGGAAGCAGTGGTAGCAGAGCCATGGGGGACGCTCCCAGCCCTGAAGAGAAACTGCAGCTTATCACCCGGAACCTGCAGGTCAGGCCTGGGGATTGGAAAAGCGCCGTTGGGGGACTAGGAGCCCGAGGTTCAGTGATTTTGAGCCCCGTTACTGGGTTCTAAGTGTGTAGGGCCGGGGACTCGGCGCTGGGGCCGCTCTGAGAGAGGTTGCAGATCTCATTGATGATCGGTCAGTCAAGCAGCCCTTCCTTGGGTTTCATAGAAATCACAGCGGGCTCACCTCTTGCTGCAGTTACCTTGTGTTGGAGCCAAGCTTTGAATCCAGGACTCCCACTCCACCCCCCATTAAGTGCCGCGATTAATAGGGGGCTTGGTCACAGAGTACGTCAAGGGCCTGCCAGAGCTTGTCTGAAGGGGACCAAAAGCTAAAAATGACCCACTACAGGGTTCAAGTAAGTACTGGAAGATGCTATTTTGGGAGCTTTAAAAGGAAATGAGAGAAGGGAAGGCTTCCCTGAGGAAGTGACCTCTAAACTGTACCCTGAAGGTAATAGATCCCCCCGCCCTCAGGCCACGTCTGTTCCGACTGTTACTAAGAACTACAGGAGTAGGAGTTAACCAGAGGAAGAATGGAAGAATGAGAGGGAGAGCATTTCAGATGGAGGGAACAGAAACTGTGGCTAATTTAGCTGGAATGGAGTGAGCAAAGTTATGAGGAAGCACTGAAAATTTTTTATATTGTGTATTCGCTTGACTTTTCCGGGCTCCTATTGTCACCTTATCAGGGAGGCATTTCCCGACCACTTTATTTAAATAACAAATCATCTGACACCAGAACTGCCCCATCCCTTGCTCTGCCTTTTTTTCCATTATTGTTCTTACATACTATACGTTTTAATTGTTTATTTGTTTGGGAGAGGCAGGCAGGGACCAAGTCACGGGGCCTTGTAGGTCTTATTCTGTTCAATTTTAAATTGGGCTATCTTCTAAGAGCAGTGATACATCAGTTGGCCCACAGCCTGCTCTGTTTTCTCTTTTTTTGAGATGTAATTCACATACTATAAAATTCACCCTTTTAAAGTGCACAATTCAGTGAGTTTTAGTATGTTCACTGGTTGTGCAGCTATCACACTATCTAATACAACTTGCAGACACTACCTATTACCCACTACTCCCAGCCTTAGGGAGACAGTAATCTCTCTGTCTCCAGGTATTTGCCTGTTCTGGGCATTTCATTTAACTAGAATCATACAATATGTGTCTTGTTGCGTCTTTTTGCACTTAGCATAATATTTTCAAAATTCATCCGTTTTTGCACCTAGTAAAACATCATTCCTTTTTATGGTTGAATGATACTCTCTTGTATGTATATACATTTTGTTTATCCATCATCAGTTGATGGACATTTAGGTTATTCCATTCACAATTTTAACCAAAGGTTTTTGCATGCTTCCCCTAGCTAGAGTCTTAGTTTCCTATTCCCTCTCTGTAAAATATGCTGACTGGGGACTTAAGATACACAAAACTATTGGAATTGACTCACGGGTTTTTGGTTTTTTGGGATTATTTTCAAACAGAGTTTTGCTCTGCCTCCCGGGCTCAAATGATTCTTTTGCCTCAGCCTCCCGTGTAGCTGGAATATTATAAACATGCACCACCACACCTGGCTGATTTTTCTATTTTTAGTAGAGATAGGGTTTCACCATGTTGGCCAGGCTGGTCTCAAATTCCTCACCTCAAGTTATCTGCCAACCTTGGCCTCCCAACATGCTGGGATTACAGGTGTGAGCCACCACACCTGGCCTCACTCAGGGTTTAAAGTCTAAGTAATGTGACATCTTCTTGGGTGCTGATAACCCTCCAAGTGTCCACATAGTTGGGGGTGCTCTTGAGCATGCGGGATCACCTGCCAACAGACTTGGAGCACAGGATTTTAACAAGTCGTGCTAATATGTGATTCAAACCAGCAATATCATGTTTTCTAACAGCCTCCCAAAACCGTAACTTGAGGAGACGCTACATATACTGGCCTATTAGAATTTTTCCAATATTGTCATAGGACAGAAATAAATCATTAAAGGTCTTAAAAAAGGAAAATGAGTTTTAAAGAAGTTTTTGGGTTTTAAGGACTGTCTCTGGCTACCTTTTAGAACATGGATTGGAGGGGCCAGGTGCAGAGTGGCTCATGCCTTTGGGAGGCCCATGAGGGCAGATCACTTGAGGTCAAGAGTTCAAGACCAACCTGGCCAACATAGTGAAACCCCATCTCTACTAAAAATACAAAAATTTCCCCGGCCTGGTGGTGGGCACCTGTAATTCCAGCTACTTGGGAGGCTGAGGCAGGAGAATCATCTGAACAGTGAGTTAAGATCATACCACTGCACTCCAGCCTGGGTGACAGAGCAAGACTCCATCTCAGAAAAAAAGAAAAGAAAAGAAAATTGATTGGAAGGAGCAAAAGTAGATTTGGGAGACCAGTTAGGAGAATATTAGAGGAATCCTGGTGTGATCTGATGGGGCCTGGATTTGGGTGGTGATTTAGAGGCAGAGAGAAATAGGAGGGTTGAAGAGCAGTTTTGGAGTACCTTGAACAACTCTAAATGATGGTACCATTTACTGAACAAGGAGTGAAACTATCAGTGAAAAAGATGGTTAAGGAGTGAAGTAAGAAATCAAGAGCATGAGTTGTGTTTTGAACGATTGGGTTGACAACAAGAACACGGTCCTGTATATGGATGTGAGCAGGAGATTTGGGAGTTACTGGCTCACAGTAGTAGTTGAAGCAACTGAAGGGGATCAGTTAAGGAGAATGTAGAGTAAGAAGAAAAAAAGACCAGAGCCCCAGAGATTGCTAATATTTAATGACTAGGAAAAATAAGAACAGTTGCAAAGAAATCCAAGCAGGCAGAGAAGAGGAAAACTTAGAGAATAAAATAAAGGAGACCAAAGGAGAGTACCTCTGGGAGGGAGTGAAGACTAAAAAATACTCATTGAATTTAGAAACATGAAGGTCCTCTGTGACCTTAGCAAGAGTATGTGTGATGTGATACGGAATTTAGTAGTATTGTAGCCGAGCCAGTCAAGGAATGCACCACACTCTGAGATTGAATTATGAGTTCTTTATTATGCTGGCAACTGAGAGGTGGCTAACGCCCAAAATTCTCTTAGCACCTAAGAAAAAGTTAGGTGGTCTTTTATACCCTAGTTTTGAAGGGGAGGGGGAACCTAGCTGAAGCAAATTTTTCGCAAAAGCAGAGTAAGCAAAAAAGTTAAAAGATAAACTGTGTATGAGAAATAAAACAGTGCCAGGTGCAAGGGGTAAAGTTGTCATAAAAGACATACAACTTATAGATAATGGGGGTTCTGGGCATTCGACTGCACCTGCATTCCCAGGCTCTGCTGGTACCACTTACCTTGGCCTCTTATCAACTAATGCACTCCTGGAGGTGCCCAGTGTCAGCCCGCCCCAGCTACATACTATAGTTACATACTTGATGGTGGGAAAATAACTAATATGAAGAAGCTAAGATGGAGTCTGTCCGGCTCAAGAAGCTAACATAAAGCCTGAACAGCTTTTAATCTGAGAAAGAGTTAGTTTTAGCTGGCAAAAAGCAGGTTATCACAGTATGATGTGGCATGGAATTCAAATTGGAATGGGAGACTAGGAAATGAAGACCAGCCGGGTGCGGTGGCTCACGCCTGTAATCCCAGCACTTTGGGAGGCCGAGGCGGGTGGATCACGAGGTCAAGAGATCGAGACCATCCTGGTCAACATGGTGAAACCCCGTCTCTACTAAAAATACAAAAAATCAGCTGGGCATGGTGGCGCATGCTTGTAATCCCAGCTACTCAGGAGGCTGAGGCAGGAGAATTGCCTGAACCCAGGAGGCGGAGGTTGCGGTGAGCCGAGATCGCGCCATTGCACTCCAGCCTGGGCAACAAGAGCGAAACTCCATCTCAAAAAAAAAAAAAAAGGAAATGAAGACCAAAAGAAGAGACAACTGTTTCAAGAAATTGGCTATGAAAGGAAGGAGAGTGAGTTAGAGGTATGTAAACCAGAAAGTATCTGAGGCCAGATGTGGTAGCTCATGCCTATAATCCCAGCACTTTGGGAGGCTGAGGCAAGTGGATTATTTGAGGTCAGGAGTTCGAGACCAGCCTGACCAACATGGTGAAACCCCATCTCTACTAAAAATACAAAAAATTAGCCAGATGTGATGGGGCACACCTGCAATCTCAGCTACTCTAGAGGCTGAGGCAAGAAAATCGCTTGAACCCTGGAGGTGGAGGTTGCAGTGAGCAGAGATCACAGAACTGTACTCCAGCCTAGGCGACAGAGTACTCTGTCTTGGGGGGAAAAAAGGTATCTGAGGCAAGTCTCAATCAATTTAGAGGTTTATTTTGCTAAGGTTAAAGACCATGGCATCTGACAGTCTCAGAAAGTCCTGAGAACATGTGTTCAAGATGATTGGATTACAGCTTGGTTTTATATGTTTTGGGGAGATAGAAGTTACAGGCAAAAACATAAATCAATACAATTAAGGTATACATTGGTTTGCCCAGAGAGGAGATGGGGGTTCTAGTTTCTAGGTGGATTCAAAGATTTCCTGATTGGCAATTGGTTGAAAGAGTTAAACTCTGCCTGAAGAGTTGAAGTCAGTTTGAGTTAAGATAAGGAGGGTTAGGTTCACACCTGTAAATCCCA